GAATCGGAATATGTACATTTGTATTCGTGTTAAAGATGAAAGATAAAGAGAGAGAGAGAGAGAGAGAGATAGGGAGTTTAAATTTTCTTCCTTTCTTAAATATCGTGTTAAGTTTAAAAATAATGCTTCGAATTATTATCGTAACGTTAATTCAATATTCTATTTATCCGATTAATATTATCCTTGGATAATATTCCCTTTTACCCATTTTCCGTTTTATTAATTTTATCGCAGGCACGAACGATCGGTATTCAGTATCAGCCTCTCGACATCTCAATATTCCGTCCTTATTAAGCACCGCCTCGGAGTATCCCGGAACCGATATACACCCAAGTCTCATCGAAGATACTCGGCGTCCCAACATCGTTACAGGCTAACAACAACGAATCTTTACGCCCTCCATCGATCACCGGTTTAACGAACACCCAAGGGCGCATCGTTGCACCACAGTCCTTGAACTATATTGAATTACGTGGCCGCTCATCGATCGAATTCTGTTTGCTCGCGTAATGTACACGAGCCCTGACAACGTCGACGTGTTTTTTTTTTTTTTAGAAAAAAAAAAGAGAGAAACGAGAAAAGGAAGTTTGCAATCATCACTTTGCTAAAAAGCGAATAGGAAACGTATCCTTCTTCCGGTGGTACCAGAAGAATATCGAATGAGTTGCACGCGGGGGTGGAAGCCGCAGGAAGGTCTATTTATCCCCCGTTTTCCGCAACGCTCGAGAAAGAGCGGTGGCCATTTAAATTTTAAATGTTAAAACCTCCGTAGGAATTCGTCCGTTGGAATCCTAGTAAATCCAACCTGTCTCGAATCCTCGAGGCCCTCCTCCATCTCCCCTCCCTCATCGTGGAGGAGGAATCGACGATTCGAGCAGGACCGAGTGGAAACCGATACGATTCGAGTCGCTTTGCCGAGCGGTGCTAAAAATAAGAGGGGCATTGAAAATTCTCTGCTGGATTTATAGGCATTTTTGCCTGGCCAGCGATAAATTCGAGACGCGGGCTATAATGCATTCTATTGGACGAGAAATATCGGGAGATAAAAAACGGACGATGGGTATCGAATGAAATTCCGCGATAGGCTCCCTTATTTACGACGCCGTATTTCGCATTCCTGCGAAATCAATTCATATACGAACGAATCGAATTTTTTCCATGCGGGGGTAAGATGATGCTAACGCTTCGTTGATGGTGTGTTGAATTCAATTTTAACGAGGGTCTGCATTATCTTCGACTATCCACGACTATTCAATAAAAATTGACTCGAACTTAAATCGAATCCTTGATAATTCCATTCGTTCGCTCCAATATAAATATTCATTCCGAAAACCAAAGGAGATTCATTTCTACAGAATATAATAGTTGAAGACGACATTCTTCCATATATCACACACGCACAGTGTTCCAAAGAATACGTATTTTACAGATTCCTGTCTTCTCGCGCGCGATCGTAAAAGTGGCGTGGAATAGCAAGAGGATCGATGAAAGAAAGAAAGGATAGGCTGAGTAATTCGCGCACACTTTTCGCGGGGGATCCCACGGCATTGTCCCCTGCGGGAAAGGAGCAAGAAACCGCAATTGTGGGCGCGCCTCCGTGGGTCAACGTGGCTGTTGGCCAGCGCCAACAGTCGGCCCTGGAACCGTCCCAGCGTGGGATCGGGCCGGGAATGAAAATGAACGCGCACGTCCCGTCCCCGAATAAATAAATCGTGTTGCTGTTTACCTGTTCACCTTTCATCCACCGCACGTTCGCGACCAGAATCGTACCAGAAATTCTCCTCGAATTCCCCTCCCCCCGAACGATCTCGTTAGCCGCGGCTTCGTCGCCAACTGTGCGTGCAACTATTTCTTCCTTTCCTCCTCGTCTTCTTCTCTCTTTCTCTTCGAATTTAAAGTTACAGGGAATTATAAAAAACGACTATTATATTTTTGTGAACGTGTCTTTATCTCTCGATTCTGCACGTTATTTTTTTTTTTTTTGTATAGTAGTAAATTTATTTATATCAAGCAAACGATTGAAAAGTGGCGAGTATTTTCTCGATAAAGAGTAAAAATTTTCTTCTTTCATTTAAATTCAGGGAGTAATAGTAATATTTTTCGTTCCTCTGGGCAAAAAAGGGAAGAGTTAACAAGGGATGATCGTTTTTGTTATGAATCCTTCGATTGTTCGGAGGAGGGGGCTTTAATTCTGGAACTGATTACTTCTTGCTTGAAGCTCGGATCTTGGTTGACCACCGGTGATTGGCTCGACTAATTCGAGTGTTAATTGTTCGGCCGATTTGAATACCGATCGAATCACGCCTCCCTTAAGAATCTCACCTCTAACAAGAACTCGCCAACCGCTTCTCGTTTTCAGTCGTTTTCGATCGAACTGATCAGAAATAGATTAACCGTTCTTAGTGGCCGATCGACAGTTCGGAATATCGATCAATTTCTTCTACTCCACCCCGATTCTAATTGCTTTTTAAAATCCAAAGTTCAGCGAGGGTGCATCGCACAGATGGATCAAACGTTAACTCGGCCCATTTTTTCGATTCGCCTTTCTTTTCGTCCAAGTTTCGAATTGAAGAAAAAACTGACACGCGATAATTAATATATTTACTATTATCACGTAGCGATGCATATTTATATTGTTATAACGCTAACAATCAAGATTACTGGAAGGAATTTTATTAAACATATTCTTCGAAAATTTATCAGAATATCAGAATAGTAGCAAAATTGTATAAAGTTTCCACAACCTTCCATTAATTATTCTAACGATTATCAATTAATGTTGCAAGATGCAACATCGAGATACAAATTATCTTTATGGATCATCCTTCGGCTTGCATTTTCAATCGCGAAATCCTTGTTTCGAAACAATTCGAAACTCACCATATTCCGTTAAATTATCCCGTCTTATTGCCAATTATGCCGATCAACATCCTCGTCCACCCACGAAATTCCTTTTTTCGCGGCGTGGCGCGAGGAGGGCCGCGGAAATTGGGGGGACGGGACGGGGCCCAGGGAGACGAGCCGGGATGGAATCAATGTTGAAATTGTAATCGAAGGTGAAGAACTGTGCGGCTGAGCGTGGCCGTGGAGCGGAGAGATGCCGTTAACGGTAACCCGTGGCAACCCGTGCCGCGTCCCAGCATCGATCCAAGTTTTATCGAAGCGGCCCAGCCCCGCCCTGCCTCCGCGAGGCCGCTCGAAAATTCGACTTTCGACTCGCGGCAATTGAAATGCGGCCGACTTCGATCCGGCGGCCGTAAACAAATTTTTAGGTGATCGCCTTCGGACGTCAGCTGGCGCGCACCTCGATTCGAACCTCGCTTTCCTTTCGAACGTTTGTTACGTAAGTAACGAGTGAAATATCGTATATTTATACACACAAAATGGAAAAATAAAGTTTTCAACCACGTATTTTTTTTTTTTATATTTTTATATGTAGAATAATCAAAGGATTTAAAGTAGAATAGAAGTGTGAATAAATTTTTCGATAAAATTTCTACCCTTGTCTCCCTTCCAATCGTTCCATCTCTCGATACTCGAAATTTATATTACGGATATCGTATAATCGATATTTAAAATAAAATAGACAAACTTCCCGATAAAGCGGAACAGTACACGGTGGAAAGAATTGAAAAGAACGCGTATCGATATCGATATAATAATCCCGAACGCTAATTCTTCTCTTGCGTAAAACGATTCCCTCTTAGATAAAACTTGTCGTCGATCTCCTCCTGGGAGTAGCATCCGCCAGCGTCCAACTTTGCCGTCAGAAAATCGAGTCGCAATAGAAACGACGATAAAATCGTCGACAAAAAAAAAAAAGAAGAAAAAACAACGAATCGCTCGTCGTTCGAGGATTTTTCGGATGTTTCGTCTCTTTCCACCCCTCCCCCCGATTGTACCGAATATTCCCCTCTGTATCGGCCGCGGCGAAAGAGTAAGCGTCAAAAATATTTCCCCAAGCGTTCCCCTTCCCCGCTCCATTGTCGCGCTTCTCCATCCTTTCCTTTGTCACCGAGCCGATCAACAACGGTTTTCCCCGACGGTTTCGCTCATTATCCGGCTCGTTTTCAACCCTTCCACGTTTCAAAAACACTCTCCCCCCTTCGATTCTCCTCCTCGAATCGATCCCAACTTTATCCTTCACCGCTCGTTCCCCCTTCCCCCCCAAAACGATCCGTTTGTCTCGTCTCAAATTATCAAAGCAAAAACGTTTCAGCACCGCGTGCACGTTCAGTTCAGCCACTTCGAGTCGAGCCGAATCGAGTTTATCATCCCATTTACCACTTGCTTCGTCCCAAGCACACGGTTTCGCACAATCTTTTCGTACACGGTTGCGTTCGTACACGCAGCGAACGAAGCCCACCGGATTCTTGACCCGTGAGAATTCGGTTCCGAATCCTCTTTCTCTTTACTCTTATTTTTTCCTTCTTCTTCGCCACGCGACAAACCGAGAACGAGAACGGATAATTCGGTGGACACTTCGCTCGCCGCGTGGATCTCTCGATTTTCTTTTTTCTTTTTTTTTTTTTTTTCCTTTTCTTTTACGCCCAGTCCGTGCAACGACTATCGATAAATGCGACGAGTAAGCGTAAGGGGTATATCATATGCGAAGTAAAAAAAAAAAAAAAGTCAAGATCCAACACATCGTGGGCAAAACTCTGTTACACCGGATCCTCTGTATACACCTGGAGATATATAGAGGTTGGATTTAGATTCGTGGAATTTGTTCATTCTAGATTCATTCGGGGCAAAACGATAATTAATTGGCAGTTTTATATATATATATATGTAGGAGGATAGAGTTTAAGTAGTCGCTTGGCGATCGCGGTTTTGCCTCACGATATATCGATTCTGTACTACCACATAGAGTGTGGTCGAATGATCAGACTATCGATAGGCAGGAGATAGAGAGAGAGAGAGAGAGATAGATAGAGAGAGAGAGATAGAGATAGAGAGAGAAAAAGATATATGTTATAAACGTCGTGTCCCCTACTCACCTCCGTAGTTCGGCCTTACTCTTTTATCGTAACTGACGGAGAACGAGTCCAATATCGCCGAGATGTTGACGTCATTCAGCATACTGCCTCCGCCGGTTCTGCAATATAAAAAGGATAACGATTTTTTTCTTTTTCCTTTTTTTTTTTTTTTTTTTTTCTGTACACACACATACAGTGAATATACACTTTTTTAATACGATAACAAGGGAGGGGAGGGAAGTCTGATGTTTGAACAGAGAGGGCCGAGGAGTATATTAAAGTTTCATCTAATAGTAGTAGCTGTAGTGGTTGTAGTACGATGACGAAGTTTGAAAAAAAGAATTTTAGAAACGTCTGCACGCGTGCTCTCCGCGCGTACTGCGTTTTAATTATGAAAGAGCGATGCGACTACTACTAAATTTAGGACACCGACTTCTTCTTCCATCCATCTCTTTCGTGCAACGAGCATCATCCCTAGTAGCTCGAGCAGAGAGTGTTTTATTTTTTTTTTTTTTTTTTGTTTTTCTCTTCGTTTTCCAGCCTTCCTCTCTCTGTCTCTCTTCTTCTTCTTCTTCTTCTTCTTCTTCTTGTTCCTCCTTCTTTTTTCAACCCTCTTTTCTTCTTCTCCTCCCTTTTTTCGCGAACGCTCGTGAATTTTTTTCTCGCGCATTCGACTAAGGAACTTTAGTTCACCGCATCGGTGTATGCGTACGTGTGTATATAACGTTAAACAGAATTGTGTATCGAGCAAACGAGCGCGAGGCTCCTCGTAACCGCGTATCACCCGTTCAAACGAATAATATGCTTTTGACGCTTACAACCGACTAACGCGTTTAAATGGTCAATGGCGTGAAAAGGCAAGAGATAATTATATTTTCAGCGGCGATGCGACTGCAGACGAACCTTCTCGTTGAAATATTATCCTGTATTTTACATTCAACGATGTAAATAAGCGAGTTTGTGATGCTCCTGTTGTGTGTTTCCACCCTTTTTCTTTCTTCTTCTCCTTTTCCTTTTTTTCGTACTAGATTTCCTTCGATTATTCTCAAAATCTAGAAACACATCGATTTTAATATTGATCGAGTTTTCTTTCTTTCTTTTTTTTTTTCTTCTTTGATAATAATAAAAGGAAGAAGACGCAACGTTTTCGATTCTTTTAATTATTTTTGTTACAATTTGTTTACACGGAAAAGAAGATTAAAAGAATGCTTCGAAGTTCATACCACTTGTTAAAAAAAAATATCGCACTTTTCCATGTATTAGTAATCTGATCAATGCAAAAATTTGCGAATCGAATTTAAATTTCCACCGATTAAATCTGAACATGGCACGGTAGTTGAACATTTCCCTCGAGATAATTATTTTTCAAAGGCATGGGAAAAAAAAAGGAGAGACAGAAAACGGATACTCTCTTTAATATCCAACGCTTAATAGCTTTTTAATATCCGAGGTTTCTCCAATAGCGGGCAATTTATCGTCCCCCCTCTTATCTTACGTTTCCCAGAGATTTCCTCCCAGAGTGGAGAGACATTGTTGTAACAGTTTGTGTAACGTAGTCGTGCACCAGGGAACTTATATGCAAAGTTAGACACGTAAAATGCAGATTGTCCGGGTTTGACTTAACGGGTCAGCAGATATGAGGTCGGTGTGCCAATCAATCGATTTCGAATCAACGAATCCGATGCTTGACGAAAGAAAATTTTGCGTTATTAATCGTTTGTTCCAATAGAAATTTCATAAATTTCACATTAATCCATATATATGTACTTATCAAACTTATTAAAATTAGGGAAACTTTGAATCGCTATAACTCCGAAGATAATGATCCCTGGCGAATCAATGAAAAATCATTCGAAGCGGGGAACCTTGCCCTTTAAAACGCTCTCTCATTTATTACGATACGACTTCCGGTTCTCGAGATATCGTCGCGTAAAGGAAAGACGATTTCTAATCGTTTACCTTAAATCCGAATTGAACTCTATTAAAATTAAGGAAACTTTGAATCGCTATAACTCCGAAGATAATGATCTCTGGCGAATCAATGAAAAATCATTCGAAGCGGGGAACCTTGCCCTTTAAAACGCTCTCTCATTTGTTACGATACGACTTCCGGTTCTTGAGATATCGTCGCGTAAAGGAAAGACGATTTCTAATCGTTTATCTTAAACCCGGATTGAACTCTATTAAAATTAGGGAAACTTTGAATCGCTATAACTCCGAAGATAATGATCTCTGGCGAATCAATGAAAAATCATTCGAAGCGGGAAACCTTGCCCTTTAAAACGCTTTTTCATTTATTACGATACGACTTCCGGTTCCCGAGATATCGTCGCGTAAAGGAAAGGGTAATTTTTTGATCGTTTACCGCCTCGGTCCTTGTTTTTTATTCGAAACTCTCGCTCGCACGTCGTCTCACTGACCTATCCTAAACCACAGACGAGCGACAGACGCGATTCCTGGAAAAGCATAGTACGCGTTTCCAGGAAAAGATATAGGTCATTCATAATCGCCGCGCCGCTATGAAAACTTTGAACCGTTATATCTCGGCAACCGATTGAGATATCGGGATAAAACAAAAAGCGACTTCAATGGCATAGTTCCCCCTATTTCCCGAGTGGATTTTCATGATGATATTTCAATTTTTTCTTAGTAGTTTTTTTTTCTTCTTTTTTTTTCCCTCGAACAAATTGAAGTTTTATCCATGACACATTTCGCGAAAACTCTGTAATGTGATTGTAATGCAAAGTGTACCTGGACATAATTTAACATATATTTTACACAATGTCGACATATTTTATGTATATTCGTTGAATATTTGAATGCATTTTAATTGCATACCATCTCTTTACATAATTACAAGGTTGGACAATGTTATGAATATTAATGAACAGTACATGCGGATGATGTTTATACGTAGAATGGATGGAAACGGGCTTTTGTGTAGATCGTTTCGAAAAAAAAAAAAAAATCCTCAGCTTTTGGTTGAAACGTTGCACAAAGTTTCTTTGCCCGTAAAGTAAATTTGATTACCGTGCGTTGATCGAATCGGATTCGAAATTGATCGAAGCGTACATACGTCGAGCATATATAGATAACTTTAAACAGATGTTTCGCCCGATAGTTAGATTATGATCTCACGTTTGAACCGTGTTCGAAGCGATATAGGCCCGCGATGTTGGCCCGGTGTGAAAGATAGGCTCGATCGAGATACGCTACCGTCGAATAAATGACCGTACGCGTGATAAAGTTAACTTACCGATGCGACAATAGTGGGCGGTACCGAGGCTTTGCACGAGCTTCAATTATCACGGATCAGTTGGGCGGGTATCGTGGAAATTCGAGCGACCTTCCTTTCACCGCTTGATCGATGCTTTCCTTCCAATTGCGTAATTGCACACGAAACGTTTCTCATACTTCCACGATCCATCTTGTATATTTTTTAACGTTTACTCTCCTCGTTAACGAACTTGTTAATTGCACATGAATGAGTTTGGATCTTGCAATTATAAATATCACGAATATACAATATTTATCTTTAAAAAAAATTATTATATACTCCGTATAGATTTTCATTAGAAGTAAAGTAGGATTCATTTAATTTTGTGGGTTATACAATTTGTTGATGTTCAATTTTTTTTTTTTTGTATAAACGACAGATATCAATGTCTGAGATATCAATGGATTCTATGCTCGGGAAGTTTGAAGTGGCAATGGGGTATAAGACTAGATTGAAGGACTCTTGATTGATTCGAAGGTTGCCGGAATTTTGGAAGTTTCGAGAGCTCTGGTGATTCCGGAAGTTTCACGAGGCATTGGCGTGTTTCAGGGATTCTGAATGTCTCTGAGGAATATAGGAGTTCCGGCGGTTTCCAAGGTATCACTGTGTTTCCCCGCCTTTAACAGTTCAGGACACTCACTGGGCTGGTTCAATTATACCCGCGGTTTCAGAGGTAGATGGGAAGCCTTTGCAAGTTTTAACAGATTTTAGATATCTGCAGAATGAAATGATCCTGTAGAAATTCGTCCAATCTTCCCTTCTCTAAATATCAAAATACTTTCACGAGCTCTCGATCTGTCCTTATCTACCTTTCTGGAAATTATAGAAGTTTACCAAATGAATTCGTCTTGGCTCCCAAAATTAATCATTTCGAAACATCGAATTCTCTTACGTTTTCTTTCAAAATTCTTTTTAAAATAAAATTATCGAAAGATGCTCGAAAGATCACACAGCCTTCACTTTTCGATATATATTTTTTCTCGAATGAGACAGTCTCGATCAACAATTCGCTATCAATAAAAATTGAAATAAAAACCGACAAACACAATAATATACCATCCCTATAAATATCCTTCCTAAACCCCTCTTTCTTCTTCTCGATGGTAAAGTATACGGAGATAAATCTCGCGACAAATCGTTATCTGGATGTTCTTCCCAAGTCGGGCGGGACATCCGTGTCCTCCCCGATGCGTCATTTATTTTTTTCTCCATCATCCTGAACAACGAGAAGAAGAGGTCGATCCTGGTTCCACTATTTTTAAAAAGAGGGGGCGGAACCGTGGCTTTGACCGTGTCCACGCGTGTGTGGGCGAGGCCTCGATTTATCGAGCAACTTCCAGAACCCAACTGTGAACTAAATCTTGCGCAACGATATCTACCGAAGAACTTCTACCGGCGATAATAGGTCAGAGGTTAGGCGTATCGATTAGATACCCGCGGATACCCGCTCTTAGAACGCCAGGGTGTAGACAGTGTTCGAGGTTTGTGCGTCGAAAGTTTTGCATCAGGTTTCCTCCAGGGATAACGAAGATTTAGGATAAAGGATCGTACCGATTGAACATACATTCTGTTCGAAAATTCGTTTACGAAAAATTTTTACATCTTAATGTTGAAGAATTGTTTGTTTTGATCGGATTGTGAATATTAATCTTCTTCGAAGCGTGGAAATGTATTTTGAAATAAAATTTGTGCACAATGTGTACATCTCATTTGATATTTATTTTTCGCAAGAATTAAGAAAAAGGATTATTATTTATTGTTTATCGAGAGATAATTTTGCTAATTTTCGGCAATGTTATTTCGAGTTTCTACTAATGAACGAGCTTCGTCCAGAGA